CTGTCTCCATAGTGTTTCCTTTTCCACAATTGTTATATACTTGTAATCATACAGTATATAGCCTTTTAAGATTGACTTCTTTTACTCTCCAATACACAATTTTTAAAATTAATTTTATTAAATTTATTGGGGTGACAATTGTTTAATGAGATTATATAAGTTTCACGTGTATAATTCTAAACTACATCATTTGTACATTGCATTGTGTATTCAACTCCCAAAGTTAAGTCTCCTTTTGTCATCATATATTTGATCCCCTTTAGTCTCTTCTACTTTCCCCTACTTCCCTTCCCTTCTTGTAACCACCATACTGTTATCTGTATTTATGAGGGGGTTTTTTTTGGGGGGGCTGTTTGTTTGTTTATTCTGTTTGTCCATTTATTGTTTTCTGTTTTATATTCCACATAAGAGTGAACTCATATGGTCCTTGTCTCTTCCATTTGACTTGACTTACTTCACGTAGCATGATGTTCTCAAGATACATCCATGTTGTTGCAAGTGGCAGTATTTCATTTTTTCAAACTATATATCAGATAAGGGAGTAATATCTAGAATATACAAAGAAATCATACAACTCAACATCGAAAACAAACAACCCAATTTTAAAAATGGGCAGAAGACCTGAACAGACACTTCTCTCAAGAAGACATATAAACGGCCAAGTAGCATTCTATTATATACAATATATGCACCATATATTTATCCAGTCATCCATCGAAGCACACTTAAGTTTTTCATGCCTTGGCCACATGAATAATGCTGCAATGAACATTGGTATATATATTTCTTTATGAACAAATATTTCAAAAAAAAATTTTTGGTAGGTACCCAGAAAAGGGATTACTGGGTCATATTGTAGCTCTATTCTTAATTTTTTGAGGAACCTCCATACTGTTTTCAATAGCGGCTGTACCAATTGTCATTCCCACCAACAGTGTATGAGGATTCCTTTTTCTTCACATCCTCTCCAACACTTGTTATTATTTGTCTTGTTGATGATAGCCATTCTAACAGGTTTGAGGTGGTATATTATTGTGGTTTTGATTGGCATTTCCCTTATAGCTCATGAAATTGAGCATATTTTCATATATCTGCAGGCCATCTGTTTTCTTTAGAGAAATGTTTGTTCAGGTCTTCTGTCCATTTTTAAAAATTGGATTGTTTGGTTTTTGGTGTTGAGTTGTATGAGTTCTTTATATATTCTAAATATGACTCGTTTATCTGATATGTAGTTTCAAAATATTTTCTCACATTCTATAGGTTGTCTTTTCATTTTGTTAATGGTTTCCTTTGCCATGCAAAAGTTTTTAGTTTGATGTAGTCCCACTTGTTGATTTTTGCTTTGGTTGCTTGCACTTTTGGTGTTGATCCAAAAATCATGGCCAAGGAGCTTCTTCCCAGTGTTGTTGTTTTTTTAAGATTTTATTGGGGAGGGCAACAGTGTTGGGTAATTAAAGAAGGGGAACAGTCAAGTTGCTGTCCTTTTGTTCTTCAGTCTAGTTGTGGAGGACGTCGCTTTACTGGCCCATGTTGGTGTTATCACTGAGCTCTTCCCGGGTGAAGCAGTCACTCTCTGGCCATTGGATGGCCACTCACAGCAGTTCATGGCTGCACAAGCTGGCTGACAGCCAGTCATGGTAGCTTATGGCAGCCCACTGCAGCAGGGGCTGCAGCCTATGCCATCGCCGGCGACTCACGGCAGTCCAGCTCCAGGTTGAGCTGTTGNCTCACAGAAAACAAATACACATTCCAAACAAGATGATGAAGAAAGTTTCAAAATGAAAATGAGGGCAAAGCTGCACCCAGAAAATAGTAACAAATGAAAGGTAACACCTGTTGGTAAAGCTGAATGAAGCTTCGTTCAGGCCAACATTACAAAGTGGAGAAAAGAAATTGTTACACAATTATGAAAGCACACTCCATGGAAATGAGAGTCAGCATGAATTCTCTGGAGAGCAAATCTATGATATTAAAATTGCAAAATCTCCTTGTCACAGTGTTATATGTCTCTCAGAATTTTGCAGAACAAATAGATAAATAAAATAAGGAAGTTCAAGTAAAGGTTTATCCTATGGACAAAGACATTCCTTTTTTGTATTAAGTCCAGACAATTCATAAAGATGCTGGATATCAAATTAGGGTTCCGAAGATTTTATTAAGCTGAGCTCAGCGACCATCTCACCAGCTAAAGGAAAAACGGTGCCCCAGACTCGGGGGTCTGGTTTTTATAAGGCAGGGCTATATGCAAAGTAAGTTACAGAAGCCAAAAAGAATGTGCAGTTATTCCAGGTAAAACCGCATCCCGCTATCACAACAGTGCCGTTATGTTCAGATGTCTTAACAGTATATCCTGACTGAGTTGCGCTGACCACACAACCTGTCCCCTAAAGTTGAAAACTTCTTTGAAGTATAAAGATGGAGGCCATGGGAATGAACTGTCCTTTTGATATGTTAAAATAAAAGCCAGGGGAGAGTTTATTGCTGTGAGGCCTTTTGGTATGTTAAGATAGAAGCAAGGGGAGGAAGGGGGAACTGAGGAATGTTTTATCTTTAACCTTTTATTCCCTGGCAGAAGCAAAGCAGGTATACAGAAGCAAAAAGAACTGTTAGTTTTTAGAGTCTAGCTGGAGTAGCTGAAGTATAATTTTTTAACGTGAATCTGTCCGGTCTAGGATCCGGGCCGGGGTCCCTTCACTTGTACCCATGAAACATCTACAAGATGTAAGCATCTGCTTGAAAGATACAATTGCCCCAAACTGGAGACTTTATTGTTAATACTCGCCTTTTGGACAATAGGTCATCTTTAGTTTTTAGCGAAGAAAATGAAAAGGGGCTGTTGTGAGTGTGTGGTGACGCAGATGGGCAGGGAGGAGAGAATGTGGGCATGGATTCTCCTCTCATCAGAGGGTCAGCATCTGGGAAGTGCTCTCATGCCCCTCATTAACTTACGTAGTCTCTCTGAGACATTGTGTTCTTATATTGAAAATGGGAATATCAATAACATATGCCTGTCGGGATGTTTGTGAAGACAGAATGAAGTAGCGGATGTGGAAGTGCTCTGTCAAGTGTAAGGGATGTATAGATGAAGGTCACTGGGTTTGGAAAGGAGATAATGATGGGTGCCGCACCCCTGGGCCCACTCTGGCCATGACTAGGACACACTGACAGAGTCTTTTCTCAGTTAACTCTTGTGCTTCCTTCCACAGGCCAGTGGCAGGTGATGGGACCAGACAAGCCCGTCCAGGTTATGGTTGGGGAGGACGCAGTGTTCTCGTGCTTCCTCTCTCCTAAGACAAGTGCGGAGGCCATGGAAGTGAGATTCTTTAGACATCAGTTCCATGCTGTGGTGCACCTGTACAAACAGGGGAAAGACCAGTACCATATGCAGATGCCGGCCTATCGAGGGAGAACTGAATTACTGAAGGACTCCATAGCGGAGGGGCGTGTCTCCCTGAGACTGAAGAAGGTCACTCTCTCCGACACTGGTCTCTATGGATGCTGGTTCAGATCCCAGAATAATGACCAGGAGGCCATCTGGGAGCTACAGGTGTCAGGTGAGTTGCTTATTTCAGAGAAATCATAACTTTGTTGTCTGGCAGAACCACTTGGGACTTTTTGAACTATTTGTTGAATGAGCAGTTTTTAAAAAAATCTTAGGTCATTTAGTCAGGAGATTAGATCTTACTCTGTTTATTTATTCTGCCTCATGTGTATAGTTCTGTGTCATTTTACTTGTAGATTTATGTAACCACCATGACATCAACATCAGGGTGTAGACCTAGCCTGTGACCACTGAGATCTCC